ACAATAGCTGCAAAAAAAATTAAAAATAAATAAATAAATAAAATAAAAGATCTCAGAATAAATCTGACCAAAGACATTAAGGACCTCTACAATGAAAAATTTAAATCCTTTAAGAAAGAGATTGAGGAAGACATCAGAAGAGGCAAGGACCTCTCATGGATTGGAAGAATTAATATTGTGAAAATGACCATCTTACCAAAGTAATTTAAAAAGTCAGTACAACCCCCCCACACACCAATTTCAGTGACATCCTTCACAGAAAAAATACGAAGATTTACATAGAAGTACAAAAGACCCTGAATAGCCAAAGCAATTCTAAATAAAAAGATCAAGACTGGAGACTGGAGAATGGCTCAGTGGTTAGGAGCACTAGCTGCTCTTGCAGAGCACCAGGGTTCACGTCCCATCACCCACATAGTGGCTTACAACTGTCTGTAACTCCAGTTCCAGAGACTGTCATCCTCTTCTGGTCTCTGTGGCCACTGTACACAAATGTACAGAAAAAATATTCATACACATAAAATAAAACTAAGGAAGTCTTTTTAAAGTAATCAACACTTGAGGTAGAGACATAGTTAATTTTGTTATTCTACAAAGCCATAGTAATAAGAACACCATGATACTAGTGCAAAAACAAACATAAAAATCAATGGAGTTATAGACAGTTTTTAGCTGCCATGTGGGTGCTGGAATTTGAACCTCAGTCCTCTGCAAGAGCAGCCAGTGCTCTTAACCTCTAGCCATCTCTCCAGCCCCTCGAAGACTTACTTTTTATTTTTATTTATGTGTACATGTGTCAAGGTGTGTATGTACACACATGTACAGGTGCTTGCAGAAGCCAGAAGATGGTATTGGATCCCCTGGAGCTGGAGTTACAGGTAATCGTAAGCCACCTAGTGTGGGTGCTGGGAACCAAACTGGGGTCTACTGTAAGAGCAGCAAGTGATCTTACCTCTGAGTGATCTCTCCAGTTCCATATTTTAAAACCACCACAGTAAAGCTCTAATCTTACATACTTAATAATCTACAAAATGTTGGGCACCTTCCCTCAGTAGTAAATAACCTGTTGCATAGAACCAATAAATAAAACCAAAATGTTAGAGATCTAGAAAACATCTGCCTAGGATACTCAGTGAGTGCCAACCTTCAGGGTGAATGTTTATTCAATTTTCTTTCTGTTGCCAAAAAAGGTAATATAATAAGATACAAAGCTTATAAAATTATAAACCAGTTGCTATTTGTACCTACAATTATGAGCTTTTTTTAATGTAAGATGACCTTCTGTATGTTCTATATAGTCTATAAAAACAGAGAGTGCTGTTTTACTCAGCAGTAAAGAAAGATGAAATCATGAAATTTGCAGGTAAATGGATGGAACTAGAAACTATTATACTAAGTGAAGTAACATAGACTCAGAAAAAAAATCGATGCATGTTCTCCCTCATATGTGGATCCTAGAACAAACCCTGATAAGTATGTATCCAGACATAAACTACAGGAACCAGGATAATGGAAAGGAACCTGGGAGGTAAAGGAAAAGAAAGAACCTGAAAGAGAAGAACAGTAGGAAACAGGTGTTAATAAGGGAGATATGGATAAAAATTGGGATAGTTTAAGGGAGTGGGGAGGGAAGGGTATACAAGGAACCTAGGGGATAAAGGGAAAGAAGGAGCTCAAGAGAGGTAGGCCTGTAGGAGAAGGGTATTATTAAGGGGGAAAATGGGGGGACCTTAATTGGGGAAACCATGATGCAGGGGTTAGACAATGTGAGAGATAATGCCTAGCTAGTTAACCATATTAGTCCAACAACCTACTGACAAATTATACATACCAGATCAAGAAATATATGTCTAGGTAAGGTTTATCTGAGAAC